TGAAAAGAGCTATGGAGATGGATGGTGGTGATGGTTGCACAACATTATGAAGGTACTTAATATCACTGAACTGTATACTTACCATCTTAATTTTATATTACGATGGTAAATTTTATATTATATAGTTTGCCATTCAAAAAGTTTTTAAAAGAATGGAAATATTAAGACTCCAGGCTGGCTCAGTTGGTAGAACATGTGACTCTTGATCTCCAGGTCCTGATTTTGAGCCCCATGATAGGAGTAGCGATTACTTAAAAAAAAAAGAATGGGGGCAACCCGGGTGACTCAGCGGTTTAGCACCGCCTTCAGCCCAGGGCCTGATCCTGGAGACCCGGGATTGAGTCCCACATCAGGCTCCCTGAATGGAGCCTGCTTCTCCCTCTGCCTGTGTTTCTGCCTCTCTCTCTTATGAATAAATAAATAAAATCTTAAGAAAAAAATCTTTAAAAAAAAAAGGATGGAAATATGAACTGACATGGGGTGATTTTCAAGACATATTGTTAGGTAATAAATGCAAAGTACCTACTACCTATTGTATAAGAAGAGGAAATAAGAGAACCTAAATACATCCATCTGCTTAGTACCTTGATTATACCCTCAGTCTAGGAAGAAAAAAGAAAAAAGAACAGCAAATGAATCTTCAACTCTTTTTTAGCAGGTCTGTGTTTCACTGTAGTTAGGTATAGCAATTCTGAAAACTCTTTTATATATACTGTAGGATTAAGCAAATGTGCTGATGCTGCTAAAAATCAAGTTCTCACTGTGGAAAAGTGATAAAAAAAAAAACAGAATGGGGAAAGGCGAAGGAGAATGGTGTGAGGATGAACACCCGGAAGTATTAGTTTATTTATTTTTTATTTATTTTTTAAAGATTTTATTTATTCATGACAGACACACACACACAGAGAGAGAGAGAGAGAGAGAGGCAGAGACAAAGGCAGAGGGAGAAGCAGGCTCGATGCAGGAAGACCGATGCGGGACTCCAAGGTACTAGGATCAGAGCCCCACATCAGGCTCCCTGCTCAGCTGGGAGCCTGCTTCTCCCTCTCCATCTGCCTCTGCCCCTGCTTGTGCTCTCTCTCACTTTCTCTGTCTCAAATGATAAATAAAATCTTTTTTTTTATTTTTTTATTTATTTATGATAGTCACACAGAATGAGAGAGAGAGGCAGAGACATAGGCAGAGGGAGAAGCAGGCTCCATGCACCGGGAGCCCGACGCGGGATTCGATCCCGGGTCTCCAGGATCGCGCCCTGGGCCAAAGGCAGGCGCCAAACCGCTGCGCCACCCAGGGATCCCTGATAAATAAAATCTTAAAAAAAAAAAAAAAAAGTCAACAAAACAAAGCTAGTCTATAATCTTAAAAAATATCAGTGTCACAAAGAACAGGATGGACTAGGTAACTCTCCCAGATTAAATTACAGAGGGGCATGAAAAATAAATGCAAAAATGACCCTGGACTAAAAGGAAAAATATTTTACAGAGGGCATTACTGGGATTAATCAACATTGTAAATGTGCATAGTAAGATTATTTAAAGCACTGCATCAGGTAGCCTGGGTGGCTCAGTGGTTTAGCACCGCCTTCAGCCCAGAGTGTGATCCCCAGGGTGTGATCCCAGAGACCCAGGATTGGTCCCGCACTGGGCTCCCTGCATGGAGCCTGCTTCTGCCTCTGCCTGTGTCTCTGCCCCTCTCCCTCTCTCTCTCTGTCTCTCATGAATAAATAAATAGAATCTTTTAAAAAAAATTGTTTAAAGCACTACATCAATGTTAAACTTCCTGAAACTTGGTAACTACAAGTTACCATTGTAACTTGGCCATTAAGGAGAATATCATTGCTCTTAGGAATACAAAACTCAAGCATTAAGGGCTAAAGGGACATGATGTATGCCACCTACTCTCGAATGGTTCAGAAAAAAATTCTGTGTATAAAAGGGATGCGATAGGGGCAGCCCCGGTGGCACAGCGGTTTGGCGCCACCTGCAGCTCAGGGCGTGATCCTGGAGACCCTGGATCAAGTCCCACGTCGGGCTCTCTGCATGGAGCCTGCTTGTCCCTCTGCCTGTCTCTGCCTCTCTCTCTGTGTGTCTCTATGAATAAATAAATAAATAATCTTAAAAAAAAAAAAAAAAAAGGATACGCTAGGGCAGCCCTGGTGGCTCAGCGGTTTAGCACCGCCTTCAGCCCAGGCGTGATCCTGGAGACCCGGGATCAAGTCCCACGTCAGGCTCCCTGCATGGAGCCTGCTTCCCTCTACCTGTGTCTCTGCCTCTCTCTCTCTCTCTCTCTCTCTCTCTGTCTCTCATGAATAAATAAAATCTTTTTTTAAAAAAAAGGATACGATAAAATAAATGTGGTCAAAATGTTTAAAATTAGCGACCCACCAAGTTAAAAGTTTTTTCAAAACAAATTTTAAGTACTAAAAATAGATTAATGGCCCAAGGACCTACACATAATAATCTAAAGAATATATTCTAAAATTTTTTAGTTTTATGATCATGGTGCCTAGGTGGTGCAGTTGGTTAAGTCCCTTCAACTCAGGTGATGATCCCAAGGTACTGGGATCAAGTCCTGCAGACTCCCTGCTGAGCAGGGAGCTCCCTCTGCCCTTCCCCCTACTTGTGCATGCTCACTTGTGTTCTCTTTCTCCTCTCTCACTCTCAAAACAAAATAAAAAATTTTTTAAAAAAGTCTTACAATCAGATGTAAGAGCTGAAAAGGAACAATGAATAAGCCACAACAAAACCAAGCAGAAGACCAAATAGCTGTTGCCTCACCCTCTCTTCTCTTTGGCTTCCTGCAGATGCCACTACAAAACAATCTTCAAAAAGGATTCTTTCCACACCCCACCAGTGGATCAACAAGGATTTCCTACCTAATGAAGATATTGCATGGCTTTTGATACTAATGCTGGGTGCCCTTTTTGCCTGTTTTTTATTTTTTTAAGTAGGCTCCACACTCAACATGGGGCTTGAACTCATGATCCTAAGATCAAGAGTTGTATGCTCTACCGACTAAGTCAGCCAGGCACCTCCCCCTTATACCTACTTTCAAGGAATTAGGTACATGTTACCCATTCTAATTTGGGGTGCAATAAATAACATTTGTTGTATTTAAGGGTATTTGCTGACATTTAATTTTATCCATATTAAATGTGAGCAAATTTTTGATCAAACAACTAAGATACTTGGTATACTCTGCATCTGATATGAAACATATATTTCCACTAAATAAAAGGTTTCCTGAAACATACCTTTTAAATTTGCCATACCTTACAGTCTACATAAGGCTGGCTTAAGATATTTTAGAGTTTCTTAGTACTGGATAGATTGTGGTCTCTCCTCTCCATCCCAATAATATCAAACACTGTATATAATGCATAATTTAAAATTTTCAAAGTAAACTAAATTTACACGTATACCAGATAAGGTCACCGAAACATAGCTTCCCATTTTCTTTTAGCATACCCACTTTGATAGTATCTCAACTATATGCATAATCCATCAATAAAATATTCCAGCATTTGTCCCATATTATTGCATATACCAAGAGCTCTAACATGCTAAAAACAATTTTTCCCCAATTCCTGCAGTCTTTTGATTATTGTGACACTAAATGCTATTCATCTGAAACAGGCCTAGGTATACATTCCTGGTAAATAATTCTCAACATCTGAAAGTTCACATTATCTCTATTACAAGCCTAATGATATGATATGGCTTCCACCTTCATTAGACATGCCAGAAATTTAAAAGGACTTCAGGGGCGTCTGGGTGGCTCAGTTGGCTGAGTCACATTCCTGATTTCAGCTCAGGTCTTGATCTCAAGTGTCATGAGATCTAGCCACGCTAAGGCTCCATGCTCAGTGGAAGTGTGCTTGGATATTCTCTCCCTCTGTTCCTTCCCTCATTCACATGCTCTCTTTCTAAAATAAATCTTTTTTAAAAATATAAAAGGACTTCAAAATACAATTGCTATTTTCAAATCAAAAGAACAAAAATGTGAAAACAGCTCTCTCTTTTGTTCCACCATCATGGTGTGTGTGGTTGACTGTCCATCATGTCTTCACACAAAAGTTTCAGGATCAAGTGATTCCTGGCCAAGAAACAAAAGCAGAAGCATCCAATTTCCCAGTGGATTCGGATGAAAATTGGTAATAAAACCCAGTACAGGGGTGCCTGGATGGCTCAGTCGGTGGAGCATGCAACTCTAGATCTTTGGGGTGTGAGTTCAAACCCCATGCTAGGCATACGGCCTACTTAAATAAGTAAGTAAATAAATAAATAAAAACAACTAATAATTGCAAATAACTTTATTCTCTCATTCTAAAAAGAATTACTTATTGCATAATTATAAATCATTTTAAAGCAGTGGTTCTGAACCTTGGCTGCAAATTAGAATTACATGGGAACTTTCAAAATTTTGATGCCCACACCAACTCCCAGACCAGTTAAATCAGAATCTGTGGGAGATCAAACACAGGCATCAGTACATTTCAAAGCTTCCAAAATAATTACAATGTACAACCAAGGTAGGGAACCACTGTTTTGTTTTGTTTTTAAAGATTTTATTTGACAGAGAGAAAGCACAAGCAGGGAGAGCAGCAAGCAAAGGCAGGCTCCCCAATGAGCAGGGAGCCTGACAAGGGGCTTCATCCAAGGACTCTGTGATCGTGACCTAAGCCAAAGGCAGACACTTAACCGACTGAGCCACCCAAGCACTGCACTATTTTAAATAAGAAATATTCTGAGACAGCCCCAGTGGCTTAGCGGTTTGGCACTGCCTTCATCTCGGGGCATGGTCAACCCAGGGCGTGGTCCTGGAGACCTGGGATCGAGTCCGAGTCCCATGTCCTCGTCCCACGTCGTCGGGCTCCCTGCATGGAGCCTGCTTCTCTCTCTCTCCCTGTGTCTCTCATGAATAAATAAATAAAATCTTAAAAAAATATATTCTGGAACACAAATGCTTAAATATATGCTGTTTTAAAAACAGCACCAAGAGTGCTCACTTCAGTAGTACATATACTAAAACTGAAACAATACAGAAAAGATCAGCATGGCCCCTAAGCGAGGATAAGATGCAAATTTGTAAGGTGTTCCATATTTAAAAATATATATATAGCATGATTGGCTATAAATTTATTCTGGCAATGTTCAAAACTTTTTTCTTTCGTATTTTTAAGATTTATTTATTTGAGAGGGCTAGAGAGAGAGAGAGCACTTGAACATACCAGCAGGGGGAGGGGCAAGAGAGGGAGAATCCCAAGCAGACTCTCCAGTGAATGTGGAACCCACACAGGGCTCGATCTCACAACCCGGAGATCATGACCTGAGCCAAAATCAAGAGTCAGACACCTAACCGACTGAGCCACCCAGGTGCCCTGTTAAAACTTTTTTTAAAGATTCTTTTCAAGGGGATCCCTGGGTGGCGCAGCGGTTTGGCACCTGCCTTTGGCCCAGGGTGTGATCCTGGAGACCCGGGATCGAATCCCACGTCGGGCTCCCGGTGCATGGAGCCTGCTTCTCCCTCTGCCTGTGTCTCTGCCTCTCTCTCTCTCTCTCTCTCTCTCTCTCTCTGTGTGTGTGTGTGACTATCATAAATAAATAAAAATTAAAAAAAAAGATTCTTTTCAAAATTGTTTTCTCTCATACCTTCACCAAAAATGTTGATCACCTGCCTAACTAATTATATAGAAGTGAGCAGCATAAGTTTTAGAGTTACAAAGACCTGGATACAAGTCCTAGATCAAAAAATTTTTAAAAAATAATAAATAAATAAATCCTAGCTCTACCATTTAATAGGTAGTTATATGATAATGAATAATCAGTTTAACCTCTGAGTTTCCATCTCCTCATCTATAAAATGGGAGGATTAAAGAGGAAAACAACACGCACAATGTGGCATCTGGTACATAGGAGGGAATGTATAAATGGCTACATTTATCATACCAAACTAGCCTAGAAGACCCTGGAGGCCTGGACCATATCTTGTTTAAGGTCATAATTCCAGAACCTACCACATGGTAGCTACATAAAAATTACTGTTAAGCTCCTTAAGGAATTTTATCTGTCTCTGTAACTCTAATACCTAGCATATATTCTGATATACAACAAAAGCCTAACAACATTCTGAACAAAGGAAACAAACTTATTTCAAATAAAAAACAAACCCTCAAGCCTTGCTTTGCAGTAAAGAAGTCAGAATAACCAGCATCCGTAGCCAATAGTCCCACAAACTGCATTGCAGGTCGTTGTTGTATAAACAGTTCTACAGCTCCATCAGTGATGTAATTGCCCCCTGAAATATCCAGTGACACAATATTAGGCAGAATATCCTTTTGCTGCAGCAAATGAAAAGCTAGATCTGATTTGAGTTGCCTGTGATCAGAAATATCAAGGTGAAGCAGACATTTAAGTTCTCTAATAACTGCAAGAATTTGTGGTTTGGTCATAGTCAGGCATTTCAGATAGTGCATAGTCAGAGATTTGAGTCGATCCTTACAGGTAAGGAGTGAAGAAATGTTAGTGACCAGAGTATTGGAGATATCCAAGCTTTCCAGTTTTGGTAACTGAGAAACATTAGCCAGGTCTTCACTATGAAAACAAACATTGAAAACACTTAAAACGCGAAGACCAGTGAGCTGACCAAATAGGAGTCTTGAATCTTGAGGGATACTTGTCGAGTCCAAGAGGAGACACTGAAGGTTTTGCTGGATCCAACTATTGCTGCAGAGTCCGCTTAGGATGTCTGAAATTGGGAGGTCAGTGTGCACTGCAGTAGCATCTAGCTCAATGACTTTGTGATGGCAGAAGGCTTTTGTGAATGCAGCTGTCGAGATTTTAGCTTTTTGAATATTGACCAGCTTCAGTTTCATTTGGTTGCCTTGGAAAATGCTTGCTGTTCTATCAGTCAGCTTCCCTATAAGAGAACCAAAACCAGCTTGTAATAACTAAATCTCATGCCTTTTCCAGGAAGCATTGTGGCCAATGAACAATGACAGATGCTAATAATAACAATGACTACATTTACTGCTTACACCCTGCGAAGCATTGTTCTAAACCCTTTACTCAGATTACTTCACTTATTCTTTATAATACTATAACAATACCATAATACTATTACTATTATAACTGAGGAAACTGGAGCTTAAAGAGCTCCAGTTACCTCCAGTAACTTGTTCAAAGTCAAAATATGTGGCAGAACCAGGAATCAAAACTAGTTCAACTCCAGAGCCCATAGTTTTATCCATAGTAACTTTGTTCATACACTCAACAAAACAACAACAAAAGACAAAACAGATAAATAAGTAGAGGATATATAAAATAAAAATAACACTACCAATGATTACTTTTAACCAAATTAATGGACAGCCTCTGACAAGTCACTTACCTCTGTAGGCCTCATTTTCCTCATCTATAAAATGAATGGGTTATACTAGATTTTATTTAGAAAAGATTTACTACGCATCTCCTATATGTGAGATCCTGTGTTAAGAAATGGGCACACAGGGCAGCCCCAGTGGCGCAGCGGTTTAGCGCCGCCTGCAGACCAGGGCGTGATCCTGGAGACCCTGGATCGAGTCCCACGTCAGGCTCTCTGTATGATGCCTGCTTCTTCCTCTGCCTGTGTCTCTGCCTCTCCCTCTCTCTGTCTCTATGAATAAATAAATAAAATCTTAAAAAAAATTAAAAAAAAAAAAGAAATGGGCACACAAGGTAATTTGACCCCTGTGACAAGGAGTTCAGTTTAGAAAGGCATGTCAGGTAAATAAAGGATTAATAATAGTGTACTGACATGCAGTACTGATTTGTACCACTCCTGAGCTGGTGCACATAAGATTAACTTTGGGAAAAGTTTTGAAGACTAAATATCAGTTTGGGGGAGTGAAGGGAGACAGTGAAGGGTGGAAGAACATATCAAAGACAAGGAGGCACAGATGAGCAGATTTACTTGGAAAGATCCTAAGTAGACCAACACTATTGGAACACAGTGGTGTAAAAGCTAAAAAGGAAAGTGGAAGGAAGGTAAAAGGCAGATGGGGTCTGTACACAAAGCTAGGAAACCCAGACTTTTATCCTATGGACAATAAAGAACAATTAAATTTTGAAGCAGAAAAAGGAATGGTCATAACTACATTTTTAAAAAGACCAATTATGTGACTAAAATAATTACAATGGTGTTTGGTGGGAGTGAGATACGGCAAGGTATTATTAATGTTTTTTCAAAATGAAAGATAAAAGTTTAAACTAAGACTGACAGAACATGGTGGCTGAACAGACCGGGGCAAAGAACTAAGGGGAAAAAAAAAAAAAAGTATATTAAGCTGATTCCCAGCTTCCCAGTTTGTGTTAAGTTGCACTACCAAGACAAGAAGAAGGAAGTCCCTATACCTCAGACTTTGAGGAAGAATTCAGTATTTTCATTCATACATTTATCCAACAAATACCGAGAGTTCACTGTATGTGAAATGTCAGCTATGCTAGATGCTAAGAATGGTGAAGGAAATAAACATGGCTCCTGCCAACATGGAGCTTACTTACACCCTAGAGGGAGAACACTGAACAAACAGAAAACTACTAACATTAAAAATATAGTGAAAAAAAAAATAGTGAGTGAAAAATAGAACTACTCTATGATCCAGCAATCACACTACTGGGTATTTACCCAAAGAATAAAAAAAATACTAATTCAAAGGGACACATGTACCCTGATGTTTATTTTTTTATATAGGTTTTATTTATTTATTCACCGGAGACAGAGAGAGAGGCAGAGATGTAGGCAGAGGAACAGAGGAAGGAGAAGCAGGATCCATGCAGGGAGCCCAAAGCAGGACTTGATCCCAGGACTCCAGGACTATGCCCTGAGCCAAAGGCAGACAGACACTCAACCACTGAGCCACCCAGCCGTCCCTACCTTGATGTTTATAACAACATCACCAACAACAGCCAAATTATGGGAAAGAGCCCATCGACTGAATGGATGAAGGAGAGATGGTACATGTAAACACACACACACACACACACGTACATATGTAAATGTATATATGTGTGTGTGTGTATATATGAGAGACAGAGAATATTATTCAGCCATAAAAAAGAATAAAATCTTACTATTTGCAACAACACAGATGGAGCTACAGAATATTGTATTATGCCAAGCAAAATAAGTTATGAGAGAGACAAGTACCATATGATTTCACTCATAGGTGGAATTTAAGAAACAAAAGAAAGGAACAAAGTGGGGGGAAAAGAAAGAGGTAAACCAAGAAACAGACTCTTGGGACATATGGGAAGCTCAGCTGGTTGAGTGCTCAGCTCTTGATTTCGGCTCAAATGGTGATCTCAGGCATGAGATCAATCCCCAAGGCAGGCTCCACCCTGAGTGGGGAACATACTTGGGATTCTCTTCTTCCTTCTGTGTCCCACCCCACCCCAAGACCCAAGAGTATAGTCTCTCTCTCTCTTTTCTCTCCCTCTCAGTAGAAAAGAAAGGAGAAAAGAAAAAAGAAACAAACTCCTAACTATAGAAAACAAAATGATGGTTAGGAGGGAGGAAGTGGGACAGACAGATTACAAATAGGTAATGGTGATTAAGGAAGGTACTTGTGATGAGCATCAGCTGATACAGGAAGTGCTGAGTCACTAAATTGTATACCTGAAACTAATATTACACTGTATGTTATATAACTGGAATTTAAATTAAAACTTTTAAGAAATGTAGTAAGTGTTCTAAAGGAAACAAACAAGAACATAAAACGGGGTAAGGAAAGGAAGAAGAATGTCAAGAATCTTCTTTGTCTCTCTGGAGTTTGAGGAGGTGATATTTAAGCTAAGACCTAAGGACGTGAAAGATAAAGATTACTGTCACTCTAGATTGAAGGAAGAGCTAAAGTCCTGAGATGGGAAACAGGTTGGCTTTTTCTATGAGATGAGAGGAAACCAATGTGACTGAAGCACAGCTGATGAAGGTTAGAGACAGGTTAGAGACAGAGGCAAGAGTCAGATCTGTCAGACCAGGGCAAAGAATTGACATTTTATCCTAAGTATAAGGAGAAGCCTTTCAAGTGTGACATAAGAGTGGCCAGATCTGTCATGAGGACTGTTTGCT